ACTATTATCTCTACAGTGTCTTCCAATTTATCCATCTTGATATCACTAAATAAATTTCCTCGTTGCTCCCATACTCCATTGATGGCATTCTCAGCATCCTTCTGTAGAACCACATCCCTGTTGCTTCAAGTCTCCTCTTCATTTGTGAGGAAATTGTTCAGCATTCAATGCCATATAGGAAGATTGATATTATATAACAGCTCTTGTGGTGCTAGCACCTGTTAGGGTCCTAGCTATGGGCAAATAGTGAACTCTCAAACAAAAACAAGACTCTATGAAAGTATAAAAATACCAGCAATACAGTTAATATTTAAAAAAATGCCAACAATACCTAGCTATAGTAGAATGACCAACAATATATTTTCTAGCAAAATGACCAACAATACATTTTATCTGTAGATAAAGCAATGAAATTGCTCAAAATATTTAGATTTTGGCATTAAATAACCCATAGATGTGTTGTTATGCCACTAAATAAAATCAGCCAACCAACATAACAGTTCAACTTTTTTTTTTTTTTTTGGTTTCTAATGAAATTTTCCCTTTTCTTTCACCATCTTTCATTATTTCAATGCTCCTTCAGATTTTGGTAACACTAATATTTTAATAATCACCAGAAAAATGAAGTTGTTTTTTTTTTAAATACCACCATTATACAACATGTAAAAAAAAAATAAAATATCTTCCTGATTTTAAATGTGTTCTCTTAGTCCCTATTTCCTTTAAAACTGCTTATGTCCATATCATGTTGAAACAATGGTTCCTGTATGAACACAAAAGTTGAGCAATGTCGAGCCTGGTCAGTATCTAGAAGGGTGACCGCTTGGGAATAACAAGTTTAGATGTGTGGGTGTTATAATGGATAAAGGCTTAGAATCGGTAATTGGAGGTCTGAGTTACAATTTTTTGTTGCATTTGGTATGTCCACTTATGTGCAAATACTCTTGAGAAATGTATGAATCTGCCTCTTTTCCCCATAACTATGGGTTAGTAAGAATTGTATCAGTAAACCATTACTATCATCCCCCCACAAATGCACCAAAATAAATTCTTACAATCTAAAAATATTTTTTGAAGAATAACCTGCAAAGTGTTGATAACCTGTAAAAAAAAAAATGAATCCATCAAATCAGTTCTTTAAAACTTCTTTGTTGCTCATATATTCTGTTCATAGTATTCTCAGTATCCTTCTGTAGACCCACATCTCTGCTACCTTAATTCTCCTCTTCATCTGTGAGAAAGTTGTTCAGCATTCACTGTCATAAAAGAGTTTTACATAACAGCTTCCTGTTTCTTATTACTCTGTTTAGCTTTTGAAAAGCATCTTTCACTATTCCAAACATTTCCGCACAAAATGTAAAGAATTAATTCCCGCATTCACAGCAGAAGCTTGTTCAGTGACTGAGTAACCCCCCATCAGAAAGTGTCTCTTCATGCATGAGTAGTAAGGTCCCCTCTGACTGGTTGCTAAATTGCATCAAGGTCACACAAACAGTTCTTTTGAGTCAAAATGGATATTTTCTGAAGATTCTCTGCCTTCAACACAGTGTCATGTGTGTATATTGTGTCTACCAAGAATAAATCCTGGTAGGACTTCTAGTTCTTTTAGGATCACCTCACTGTAAAGGTTAAATAAATCAGGTGAGGAAATGCATTGTTGTGTTTTCTTTATACTTATGTTCACCTAATACAAGGCCTCAAAGTCACTCAGGGTAGAGGGTTACTGTGTGGTGTATGAGCCTAAGAAAAGGCAAAAAGCGAGTTTATGAAGTTATGCAGAACAGCTAATGATCAACCCTAGACTTGAAGAAATCAAGATTGTAATGATCGGGGAAAACATTCTGCCAAAGAGTCTGTTCCACAAAGCAGCATTTCTTGGGAAGAACTTGTCTGATTGGAACTTCCTTCTTACTAATGGAATACAAAGGAAATGAGGATGATTTTCCTTGCGTATATGACATGGCAGGTCCTAACTACAAATGTTAGGGCTGGTGAGACCAAGGAATGTAGCTTGTCAGAATGCATTTTTTTTAATTGATGTTCACCCAGTACAAGGCCCAAGAGCCACTCAAAGTAGAGGGTTACAGTGTTGTATGAACATAAAGGCAAGAAGTGATGTTCATGGGGCTATGCAGGAAAGATAATGGTTAATTCTAGACTTAAAGAGTTCACGATTGTTGTGTTTGAGGAAAACAAGAGAATGAACAGACTTTAAAAGGAACCAGAAACCTAATCCTAAACAGGGAACAAGGGATAAACCCCTAATCCTGTTCAAAAAGCCAGTGAGAATATGTGAACTGGATTATAGGGGAATCTATCTACTCCTATTAAATATGCCATGGAAATAGTGATAGAGTAATGAGAAGCTTGTGACATTTCATCTGAGGAAAGAGGTTGTAGAGTGGAAAATAATTCATCACCCACAAATCCTTTTTCTATTTTTTATTCACTGGATTCAAACTGGAAACAAGGGATAAACCTCTACTCCTGTTCAAAAGACCGAGGAGGAGTGTGAGCCAGGTGATAGGTGAACATATTTACTCCTATTAATTCACAATGACTCTTTCTAATCTCAACTGCAGTTGACCACGGCTTTGATTTATTATCTGTTCTTACTGTTGAGATCTGTATTTATAAAGATTTCTTGCCTTGGATGCGTTGTCTTCAGAATTGCTCTGGTTATTTGCCCTCTCCCCGCCAAAATAAAATTAAAATTAGTCTTTCTTATTGTTGTTTTCTATATTAATGCTTGTGAATTTTCAAGACTCCTACTATTTAGACATTAGACAAGTCTAACATTTGCAAAGCCAATGTCTGTAAGATGAACAGCGGGATAGCAGAAGCTTAAATGAAGTGAAGCGTAAGGATTTGTTTTTTGTTTTTTTTTAAATCATTTCACCCCAAGCAAGACTAAGATGCAAGGAGTTACTCAGAGTAAAGAAGCTCAGAAAATGTTACCGAAGAGACAGCACAATAAGAAGAACACTATAATAAAAAGAACAAGATAACCAATTGATGTTGCATTTGAATTTTTGAAGATTATTGTTGACAGGAAAGCAAGAATCTGGAAGAGAATTTTATAGGCAAGATGTGCAAGAGGAAAAACTTAGAACTTATGGTTACACTTAGCAATTTCTACAATAAAAATGAGACCTATCTGCCAATCTAGCACTTTGCTTAAATTCATGAAGTTGAATTACCAAAGAACATTTATCATTAGGACCAGATTTAGATGAAGAGAGGCCCTAGGCTATTTCACTTGTGAGGCTCCTTCAAATCCCCCCCTTCTCACAAGTAGAGAAAAATAGAAGAGTGTTAAATTAAATGATTTGAGTAAAGCCAAGGATGATGATGGGCATTTAAAATTACTGAAGGATTATTTAGAGTCTACAATGCATTATCTCAGCATGTGTAAGAAAGGCCTATGACAAAAATATACACCTTGGTGGGAGGCCCTAGGCTTCAACCTGCTAAGCCTATAGGTAAATCCAGCATTGTTTATCAGAACAATTGCCATGAAAATATTTATAGAAACGGTATTTCATCTAGTTCTTTGCAACATATGTTATTGAATGCTTTTGTGTAATCTATGAAACTGAGGCATACAGCAGGCTATTTTAGCCACCCTTGATTACAGCAATTTTGGCTTGTTTAATAACGTCTCTTTTTTTTTTTTCTTTTAGACAATACCATGTTAATATCAAGCTACTCATCTATGAACAATAGTTGACTTATATCTTGCAATGAAAGTTTGTGGAAGTAAGGAAATTAGTGAATTTCAACAAGGACAATAATAGGATGGCATCATTGTGGCAAGTCAGATAGAGAAATTGCTAGGCTTTTCCAGGTTAATCATCAAATGGTTAATAATATTGTCAAGAAATTTAATGAAGAAGGCCATTGTTGTGTGGAACAACATTCAGGAAGACCAAGCATCGTGTCTGAGCGAATGAAAAGGGCACTGAATAGGGATTGCATCAGAAACCGTCATCAGAGCATCAAAGATGTTGCCAACAGCATGGAAATGTTGCCATATGTGGTGAGAAAGACTCTGAAAGAGCAAGGCTATCACGAAGAGTTGCAGGGAAGAAGCCCTTGATTTCAGAGGTTAACAGGAACCTTCGTATGGAGAGGGTGAGAGAATATGAGAGCAAAGATTATGAATTTTGCTAGTCTGTAATTTGGTCAGATGAAATAAATTCTGCCAATATTCGAATTTGAGATAGGTTTTTGCTTGGTGAAATCAGAATAAGAGTTGGAACACTGAATGTCTGCAGGTAACCATGAAACACAGAGGGATTGGAGTAATGGCGTGAAGTGCTGTCTGGTTTGGAGGGAAATCTGAGCTGATTCTTGTTGATGAGTGGTTGAATAGTCCAAAATACTGTCAAACATTAGAGAAAGGACTACTCCCACTATTTGAAACTAATCAGATTGACAAGAATGACTACCTTTTTCAAGAAGATAGAGCGCCATGTCATATGAGCAAAGTAGCAAAGGCCTGGAAGGAATTGCAAGGAACCAAGTCAATGCCATGGGTAGCCCAAAATCCTGACATGAATCCAATAGAGCACGTTTGGGAGCACCTTGACTGAAGACTTTGAGAACATTCAACTAAAATCACATCAGTGGCAACCCTCAAAGAAACATTGTTAAAAAAGTGGCAAAATATGGCTCAGATGATTGTTGATAACTTGATCATATACATGAAAAATCAAATACAAGCACTGAAACTAGCAAATGGATGACCTACTCTATACTAATTCCAAATACTGTTTGTTTATGTTGAATAGGGATTACATAATTAAATTTTGAAATGGGATGTAGTTTATTTCTCATGGTTAAAAACTTTTCTTAGGCCACTGTATGTCTTTCTGCATTTGGATTACTTACTTTGGTAGCATTCTGATCATAAAAATGCTAATTATATATGCACATTTAAAAACTTTCATATCTTTGAGTTATCTCCCTTGCTTTAATTTAAAAACTTTTGTTTACAGATTTTGTCTGGTGCCCTTGAGGATAAAATGAATATCATCCATGGAGATGTAATGAAATTCAATATGGAAAATTTATTTCCTGAGGATGCGAAACAGCCCTGGGAATCACATCCGCCCTACATACACATCATCGGAAACCTGCCTTTTAATGTTTCAACACCACTCATCATAAAATGGCTGTCAGATATTTCCTATCGTCGTGGCGCTTGGCGTTATGGACGGTCAAGACTGACTCTAACCTTTCAGAAAGAAATAGCTGAACGAATCGTAGCTCCTTTAGCCAGTAACGAACGTTGTCGGCTTTCTGTAATCTCTCAACACCTTTGTGATGTGGATCTCAAATTTATTATACCTGGTTTGTTAAGCTTCTTCTTTTTCTTTTTTTTTTTTAAATCAAATCAAATTCGGTAAAAGTCTAAAAATGGTGCCATGAAACAGGGGCCATAATTCACAAGTTAAACTTTATATATATCATTTAATATGTTTTCAATTACATTTTTTGAATTTTTTCAAAATATATATTCCAATTCATGCGGATACTTGTTGGTGCCTTTTTCTCTAAGAAACCACATTAGATGAGGCCAATTTCTATTGTTTCAATATGAACTAAAAATTCATGTGTAAATCAACAAAATTATTTTCATGAATTATAACTTTGTGATTGTACTCCAGATCATTTTTAGCCCCATTATAAGTGGACCAAACGTCACTAATGATCACAAAACCTTGTTCAGTATGTCTTTGGATTACTGTTTCATAACCTATCAGGAACAAATCCTACAAAGTAATGAAATTCTTCAGAATTTATTTCAATTCCTCCAGAGAGCCATTGTTGATGAAACACTTGGCTGTGATTTTTGCACATGCAAATTATGGCCCCTGTTTTATAGCCCCCAATCTTAGAGACTTTTACCTCAAAATCTCTGTTACCTTGATGTGCATTTCTCTCCATTTTTAGTTGTGTAAAGTATTAGTGTAGTGATATTGAAATAAGTCCTGCATCATTTACACCTAAGTGCATAGACTTGTGTATATAATTCTTCTGCTACTAAGGGTGTGGCATTCAGGTAGGAAATGTTGAATTTTGCATTTTACAACACCTTGATTTAGACATGAAGAAAATCTGCAAAACTCAAGGTACCGTATTTTGTGGCATATAAGATACACTCAAAGACAATCCTGTCTTAAGCAACGTTGAACCTGGTCAGTAGCTAGTGACCACTTGGAAATAGCAGGTGCTGTAAGATTGGATGTGCAGCTGGCGTAATGGACAATGGCTTGGAATTGGAAATTGGAGAGCTGAGTTTCAATTCTAGTCTAGTTCGTTTTATTTACTTATATGCAAATACTTTTGTAAAAGAAATGAATCTCTTTTCTCCCCACAACTATAGGTTAAATTATAGAACTTTAGTTGTTATTATATCTAAAAAAAATTCTTACAATTTAAAATATTCCCCAGCTTTTAAATAACCTGCAAGAGGTTGATAAGCTGTAAAAAATCAATCAATCAATCACTGTGACTTATATGTTAAGATGAGGCCTCTCACAGATTAAAAGTCTGGTGCTTCTGCTGTGTATTTGGAGATTCTTGAAAAAATCCAAAGAAGAATCAGCAGTCCTGATATGGCATTTTGGCTTCAATCACTTTCCCATTGTTGTAGTGTAGCCTCCCTGTATCTTTTCCATAAATATTTTCCTGGTAATTGTTCTAATGAGCTTTCCTTGTCAGTAAGTGCAGTACTAGATTGGCAGCTAGGTCATATCATTTTACAGATGAAATTGCTAGATGTAACTGTAAGTTCAATGCTAAGAGTTTCTTCTTGCTTTTCTGGCTTCTTGCTTTCCAATCATCAAAAATTTAAATGCAATGTCAATTATTGTCTTCTGTCTTAATTTCTTTTCTCTCTCCTTAATAATATTTTTCTATTTTTCATACTCAGTAACCCCTTGCATCTTAGTAGCTTTATTACCTTTCTTGAGTTGAAATGATAAAAAACTTGAAAAATTTTATGAATATATTTCAGCATGAATTTGTGCATTACTAGTGTTATTTCAATATAATACATGGGCAATGCCAGCTAGTCCAGCTAGTTAAATTATAATGCAAGTTATATGTAATTGTTACACTTTTTAATTTTTGATTTTGATTAATTTGTTTATTTTTTAACAGGGAAAGTATTTGTACCACCTCCTAAAGTGGATGTTGGTGTTGTAACAATGACGCCACTCATTAAGCCCAAAATTAAGCTACCATTTGAACTTGTTGAAAAAGTCTTGAGACATATTTTCCATCACAGAAACAAGAAGTGCTTCTATGGCATCAAGTAAGTTTGCATTTAATTCAGTTAAAGTAAACAAAAACAAAAAAAAACATAAACTGCTTGTAATATAAATGTGTGTGTGGAGTGGTCATGTCTTGAGAATATCTGATGACAGGATAACCAAGATCCTAATGTACAGCCAGTTAGATCAAAGCTACAGGAATGTAGGACACCCATGACTTAGATACAAAGACAAGCTGAAGAGCAACCTATCAGCAGTCAATATACCTTATAATACCCTTGAGCACTTAGCCTTGGAGTGGGTAGAGTGGAGATCAACATGTTTTAGTGGACTCAGCAGTTTTCAATCTGCTAATCTGAATCATCTTCGAGAAGCGAGAGCAAGATCTAAAAGGTCAGGCAATCTAACAGCAACTTCATTCCACAATCCTCACTCTTGCTCCATATGCAACTTCCTTTGCGAATTACTAGCAGGTCTTAAGAGCCACTTAAGATTATCGCACAAATGCATAACTGAATCAATTGGTTAAGTTGTCAGATCCTCACATGTCTAAATTTTATATATATATATATATATATATATATATATATACGTTTGATGTGCAACTCAAGTTTTGTTCTTTACCCAACTTATCAGGCACAAGATATAGCTTATTGTTTATTTTAAAAAACATATACAGTTGCTCATGGGATGGATGCTGATTCATAGTTCAAAATTAAAATAGCACAAAAATAGTACTAGAGCAGTACTTAGGTCTAAGTGCAGGAAATGAGGTGTAGGTATGAGTCAATAATAGAAAAAAGGGAAATTGGAGTAAACTTAAAATTTGAATACTGGATGCCATTCGTAAAATACATTTTACTCATTAGAGGGAGATAATCGGTGTATGACCCGAAATAAAAGTGAGCGGAAAATTAAAATTTGTAATTAAATTTAGGTGGAAAGTGGGTTATCCAGGATTATAATATTTTAAGAGAAATAATTTGGTAATTATTTATTTTCTTACCAGTGTATGCACACCGGCATATGGCCATTAATATCTTGTTATCTCATTTATCTAACCATATATATATATATATATATATATATATGATAGGATAGAGAGCAAGTAGGAAACAGATCTTAATCTAGTATGTTTCACTTTATTAAAGCTTTGTTAGAGATCAAGCTAGAAATGATAAACAGCAAAGAGACTCAGCTAAAGTGTGTAAAAGTAAGATGCAATCGGATTTTGATTGGATATGTGTCACGTGTAATGAAGTAACAGATAATATTCAAACAAGTATAAGAAAATATTATGGATGCTAAAGTGTGTAACAGTGAGATGCTGCAGGATGTTTTGAAAAATTTTGTTTGGTTATATATTTCATTAAAGTATATCTTGTGTGTATTTTGTATATATAATGATTTTTATGTATGGCATGGCAGGTGTGAGCTGTGAAGGTCTGAACTGGTAGAATGTAACTTGTCTGGACATCTGCCAATATAAATAATAATAGAGTAGTGAGAGACTAGCAACATTTGGTCTGTGGGATAAAGTTTGCAGAGTGGAGGATAATTCATCACCCACAAGGCTGCGTAAGTGCTAGTGATCTCTGTTGATACTGATCTGTGAGAATTAGACAGCACCAGCCCAGATATGGCAGAAATACTCCATTCTTGGTCTGATCTGACCCTTATAAAGATAGAACATGGAACGATACAAACAACTGACCATTCTTCCAGCACCTTTTATCCTCAATCCAACAAAGCAGGGACTTAAAAAAAAAAAAAAAAAAAAAAAACTGATGTTAGGCTATTTGGTCAAAATAGGAAGTGGGTCAGGGCTTATGGTTAAATTACATTGAAACACCAGCTCTCATATAACTACCAAAGTTAAGCAACATCGAGTCTGGTCAATACTTTGATAGGTAACTGCTTGGGAATACCAGGTGCTGTGTGTTTGGATATGCGGGTGGGGAAATGGATAATGGCTTAAAATTTGAGAGGTGATTTTCAATTCCAGTCTAGTTCATTATATTCACTTATGCACAAAAACCCTTGGGAAATGTATGAATCCACCTCTTCTCCCTCCAGCTATGGGTTAATTAGTAGGACCTGTATCAGTAAATCATTATCTCCAGAAAATTCTTACAATCTAAAAATATTTTCTGGATTTAAATAACCTGCAAAAGGTTGATGATCCATGAAATACGAATCAATCAATCAAAAATATTTAATCTGATGTGGTTTGTTTTAATTGCAGAACTCTATTTCCTGTGGATCAGCCGCAATTGTCCGAAGAGATGGTGGAAAAATCTGGTGTAAATCCTTCCTTCACTTCCTACCAGCTATCAATGGAAGAATACGATAGATTGTGCCATGCATACAATGATATTTGCCAGCGAATCCCGGCCATTTTTGAATATGATTTCAGGGCAACACCAAAACAACGTCTCCTGCAAAGTAACACAGTTGCTCATCAAGTTAAAGAGAACATTTTGCTGCCAACATCAGAAGACGCTGGATAGCCTCCAGGCTGAATTGTCAGAAAGCCATCAAAACACTTCCAAACTTTAAATTAATAACTGTCAGAATAAATTGCTACACTTATTTTTCACTTGAGCATATTATCTCAGCAAAGTCTAATAAAAACAATGAACTGTGTATGTCATCTAGTGGCTAAGAATTAATGTAGCCGTTACAGACAGGACATGGCTATTATGTATATAATTTATGTGCTATGGGTTTTTCTATGGGAATGCATTGCAAACCAGGAAAAAAGGGGGTTGTCAATAGGTGAAATTAATGCAAGTTTTACTGACAGGATAAAGCTATTGTATAATGTAAATATTTTGCTTGTGATTTTAATATAGAAATGCATTGCAAATCAAGAAAGATGTTCTAAGGAAAGCAAGTGTTACTGATAGGATATTATCTGGTTAAAAGAATGCCATGCCACGTCATTTCAGTATGTTGACAATCATGGCTCTCCCTAGATTTCTTTTATTTGTGAATTGTCGCACCTTCTTGGAAATGATGGAGTGGTTTCCAATTGTCTTATCCAGTTTGGAATTTATAATTTTCCTTCTCTTAGAAAGGTTTCCATTCAAGGCTAGACAGCTCAGTCTTCTCTGCTATTTAATATATAGCTGGATGGAGAATAGAACAGTTTGTGCATTTCCCAATAGCATTTTTGTGAAAGTGAACACACCTGACATGTCTAGAATTTGTCAACCTAACTTGACATGTGTGACTGGGCATGTGGCTCAAAAGTTTAAAGACCACTGTTGTTGTTAAATAGCTGAATTGGTTGTGTTGCAGAATTAGTTTCCATGGCCTTCTAGAGACCAACGTACCAAAGTTGAACTGTTTCTGCCTCTTGATGAAAATGAAATTAGCCATCTTTTCACCAGGGAAACTTATTTTTTTTCTTGTGCACCAATATGTGACACTGCGCTGTCGGCCCGTGGTCAACTCCCAGTTGTGGCGCAAAGCTGTAAGGTTTCTTACACCGGCATTTTGGGGTTGACTCTTTGTCGCTGCCACCAGCCTGTGTCCTCGTCATTCCTGGTTCGATACCAGCTTTGTCGTTCCCAGCTCACTTCCAACGTCTGGTTACCGAAGTAACTACTTTGATCTCAAGTCTAACCTACCCACGTTGTGACTTTGATCTTAGGTAGACGAAATCAATCAGGCGTTGGGCCGTAGTGCAAGCTGAATCCGGGGTAAAGATGATATTGCACAAGCGTAAGTAAAAGAAGCAATAAAACAAACTCAAGAGGTTCAAATATGTTGTTTTTCTTTCTGAATTCTGTTTCCCTTAATATGACATTAATCAGTTTTGACAGAATCTCATATCTTGCTTTTTCTTACAGATTTTCTGTCTCGTGCGAAAAGTATCTTTCTTTGTAAATAAAAATAAAATTTTCTTTTTTTTAACATTGATCAGTCTATCTTTCAATATAGCTCTTTCTCGCCTTAAGTCTTTCCTGTTTTTAATTTCTATGGTTAATTAGTTAGCCAATTACCATAGCTAAATAGTGTCACACCAGTTAGGTTTGTTTTATTCACTTACACACATATATACCCTTGGGAAAGGCATGAATCTACCTCTTCTCCACCCAGCTATGGATTAATTAAGACATGTATCACTGAACCATTATTATCTTAAAAAAACCCAATTTTTACAATCTAAAAATCTTTTCTGGTTTGATTAGCTCTAAAAAACCGATTCAATCAATCAAGATGATGTTACTCTGATTATTACAATTGTATGATTGTCAAGACTAGGATCAACTGTTATCTATCCTACATATCCTCATAATCTGCACTGACTTCTTCCTCTCTCAGTAATCTACTTTGAGTGGCTCTTGGGCCTTGTATTGGGTGAATGAAAAATTTTATGCTGCTTTAATGATCTGAGGATATTGAACCTCTAATGTTGTACTAGGAAATCAGATTAAAATTCAAATTAAAAAAAAATACTGAAAATCATGACTGCTGCATAGATTCCTTTATCTGTGAATTGCTCTGATTTCTTGGAAATAATAGTTAAGCATGGTTCCCATTGCCTTTTTTCAGAGTTTTGAATTCTGTTTTCTTTCTTCTATACTGGCTGCCACCTGAGGCCAGTGTGCCCTGCTATTTAACCTATAGCTGTGGGGTGGAGAGCTTTTTCCCAAGGGCATTTGTGTGAAAGTGAACAGAATTGACTAGAATTTGAACGTAGCTCAGCCATTACACTTTCTGCATTGATAACCATTACAGATGTGACAGGTCTTCAAGAATGGCTCTGATGTGGTCCCTCTATCACTTGTACTGATCACTGAAAGCCCTTTAAACTCCAATTCACCAAACAAAACGTATTGTTGGAGTTGGTCCTCAGGCATGCAAATAACTTGGCCAACCCAACGTCACTGTCAGTCAACATGCACAGCTTTGACAGACATTGACTGACACTGCAGGACTTAAGTGTTTCACAGAAAACATGCATAAGATTTTTAGAGATTTTATTTTTTGTTCACCCATTACAAGGCCCAAGAGCCACTCAAGATAGAGGATTACTAAATGGGGTGGTTGTAAATTTATATGAGGGGAAAGAAGTGCATATTATGAGGATATGTGGGCACCTTGATGTGGTGTAATGGTTAGCAAGCTTGTTAGAACAATTGCAACTGACTAGTGAGTTAGATCCTCACTGAGTGCCCCATACTTTCATTGTTGTGCCACATCGAAGCTGAGCCATGTGTCCTTGAGGAAACATAATAAATATGGTGACAAAGATGAGGACAATAGTCCAAATAATGTAAATAGGAACCAATCATTTTGCCAGCATTTTTAGCAATTGATTCATATATATACATGTTCCACTTGACATTTGGAGTGAGCTTCAGTCCCAATCAATGTCCAATGTAAGGAGCCTCATTGAGAATTCAAGGTCTGCTTGGTGATGAAACATTACTAGCTTGGATTTTTTTTTTTTTTAAGCATTATGCCCCGAGCAATGCGGGAAGCCACTAGGATGCAGGGGGTTGCAGAAGATTTGGAGTGATAGAAGAAAGGATGAGGAGAAGGATAGTGGATAGATCAAGGCAACTGGAGATGTTGATTGACATTACATTTGAATAGTTGAAGATTATAGCTCTCAGGGAAACAGTAATAGGGAAGGGTGTTCCACAGGCGAGAGGTGCGAGATATGAAGCTATTGGAGTAGAAGAGACGGCTACATGTAAAAGTTTCTACAGTGAAAGGGTGAGAGCGGGATGCCAGCCTCGTAGGGCGCTTGAATTCATGAAGTCTGGGAACCAGTGAAAGCAGCTCATCAGAGCAATTGCCATGAAAGTATTTGTAAAAAAGACAGAGGCAACAGCGCGTCTGTGAGAGAGCAACTGTAGATGAGATGCCAGATCAGGGCCAATTATATTACATATCCACCTCTGGATCTTGTCAAGAACTCCGAGATAAACTCCATGCAAAGGCGAATGGTTGGTTTGTATATTTGAAGTATCAATTCCGGGGAGAAAAATTTCCTGGCGCAGCACAGAGAGCCAACTTTCCTCGCGGTGGACGAAGCAATTGACTCAATGTATTTGTTCCATCTCAGGTCAGCAGTCAACGTGAGACCGAGCAGACGCAGAGAGTTGCTCTCAAGAAGTTGACTATCTGACATTCTAATGGGGGCAGGGAAGGATCTCTATGGTGATTAAATGTTGCACTAGAGCAAGTTGATTTTTGAACCATGGCATTGCACTCAATTTGAAGATTGGAGTTTGACATGATAAATAATGACAAAATATTTTTTTCCAAATTATTTTTTTTTGAGGAGACCAGTTTAAAGATTAAGTTTAGGTTCAAAATCATAGCATTGGAATTTAATTCTGGTAATCAGTGAAAGCATTATAAAATTTATAATTTACTGAATCTTTACAAATTGCATATGGACAAGATGCATGGCACAAGCACATTATTACTAAATCATTATGCCATCAAATAAGACCTTCATTCACTTCAAAGAGAAATTATACAGAACAATTTAGATATATTATGATGTAATATATTATACAGTGCAGTAGTTTTAATGCCATTTTTAATAAACAGTGTAAATTTAAAACATTTGTCTTATAATTTGTGCCCAGCAGTTATATACACACCTTTATCTAATTTTTGTTTTTAATTATGATCTAACAAATTTTATTCATGGAGTTGCTTTCTTTTTTTTTTGTAATCTTTTACAATTTTTTTTTTTTTTTAGTTTTTACTTATCAAATACAGTAAAAAAAATTGCATATTTTGCCTGAGGTGATGAATTATGATTCTAGATTGGATATATTTTCCATTCAAAATATCTAATAAAAAAAATATTAACTTTATATGGATTTATTCTTGAAATAGTAAAATTCTGAAGTGAGTTTGTAAGCAAAAACCTACGGAAATTAGGTATTTCTGTACATATTTTTAGGCGATATTTAAGACTAAATGCTAATATATTGGTAAAAGCTATGTATCTAATTTTTGGTGTCAGTATTTATCACATTAAAGCCCAGCTTTCACCCTGACTGATATATTGATTTTCTAATAAATATGAAAATTCAACTTGCTCAATTGTTACATGCCAGGTTTCCCCCAATATGTATTTAGATTGATTAATTGATTAGAATTTGTCATATACCAATAGGCACAAGGTCCTAATTGGTGACATCTTGGAAAAGTTTGGGCACCAATGATATAATCAAGTGCCATATATGATTCATGACTGACAAGGCAGAAGATTTTCTCGCCACAAGGTTGCTGTTTCATTGTGACAGACTGGTTGCAAACACTCATTGCTACTTTGATGATGCCAACGAATACTCCTCATTTTTGTAATAATCGTTGTAGTAGGGACTTTGTAATCATAGATACAACTATAGTATGCCGTTGAACAATACTGGTGTCAGATACATTCGAATAGAACTTGTGCTAATAGTACTTACTCAAATAGAAAATTCGTATAGCGGTTCAAATAGAGAAATAATATAGACTAGAAATA